CTCTAGATCCGATTTACAGTAAAAATAAGGCAATATATTTTTACATTTTAACTTACGCGGCCAACCGTGAATCATATACTTCATGACAGTAGTTAATGTCTTATCTTTAAGACTCGCTTCCCTAATGTCATCAAGTGTTATTGGTTTTATATTGTTATCTAAAAACTTCAAACTACTGACGCCCTGCTCGTCAATTTTATTGTTGTTTACGCTAGGCAGTGGTGCACGAGAGAAATAATCTGCTACTAAATTACTACTACTGTTGATGTATTGTACGGTATAATTATATGCAGATAGAAAAAGGGCATAACGCTGTAATCGCGAAGCGGACGTAACGGATATGCCATTTTTCTTTCCGAAAATTGATAAAAGAGGCCTATGATCTGTTTTCAATATAAACGGGTGTTGCCTACCATATAAATATTGGTGAAAATATTTAATGCCGAATATTATAGCCGTAGCTTCCTTGTGTATTTGACTGTAATTTTTTTCGTTAACTAATAGTGTCCTAGATGCAAACGCGATAGGTTTCTCCGTACCATCTGCAAGTTGGTGTGCGAGCACCGCGCCAAGGCCGTCGGGCCCCGCGTCTACAGTCAACACCAGCGGCTCACGCGCATCGTAATGGGCGAGAACACGATCTGAAGCGAGCTCTCTTTTTACTAAATCGAAAGCAGCCTGCTGCCGTTCACCCCCACTCCCATTTTGCATCCGCGTGTAGTAATTTGTGCAACGGGTGCAATAAGGACGAAGCATTCGGAATGAAATTACGATAATAATTTACGATGCCTAAAAACCTTTTGACACCTAACACGTTAGTCGGCGCCGGCGATTTTAAAATTGCCTCGACTTTACTTGGGCTGGTTTTAAGTCCATTTTTATCTATAACATATCCTAAATAGGTGACGCTATTTTGAAAGAAGGCACATTTTTCTTTGTGTAACCTTAATCCGGCATCATTTAATCGTGTTAGCACTTCTTTTAGTCTAGATAAATGCGTTTGTCTATCACTGGCGGTACAGCACACATCGTCTAACCAACATGTAACACCCTCAATACCCGAAAGCAAGGTTTCCATCGTCCTTTGGAAAATAGCGGGTGCGCTGGCTAAACCATACACTAAGCGCGTATATTTAAATAGTCCCTTGGGTGTATTAATTGTAGTTAGGGCCTGGGAGGAGTCACTAAGCATAAATTGGTTATAAGCATTACTCAAATCGAGCTTAGAATAATGCTCTCCACCGCCTATCTTAGCTAATTCTTCTTCTATTCTCGGCAATGGATATTTGTCAATATTTAAAACCTTATTCAATGTACAAGAGTAGTCACCGGCTATTTTGATTGTCCCATTTTCTTTTAAAACTGGCACTATGGGCGTTGCAAAATCAGAATAATTAACGGGCACTAAAATCCCCAAATTAACTAATCTTTTCAACTCTTCTTCCACCTTTTCTTTAAGTGCAAATGGTATAGTACGTGGCTTAAAAAAATTTGGAACTACATTATTTTTTACGTGTAATTCAACTTTAAATTTATTGAAACATCCTAATTCGTCCTTCCATAGGTCTGGAAACTTATTTGACAATTGTAATACATCTTTATCGACATTTTTACAGCTTAAGTTAATTTTGTAATTATTTGAAGTAAGACTTAAATCAAATTGAGCCATAAAATCACGACCTAATAAGGGGGGTCCTCCATTTTCAACTATATACAACTTTATTTCTTTAGATTTGTTTAAATACGTCACTTTAGTTAAAAAATAGCCCAATGGTGTGATTTTATGGCCGTTATATAAGCACATAACTACATCACTCTTTAGTAATTTTATGTTGGGAAAATTTTTATAAAATATTTTTTTTGATATAATACTCGTGCCTGACCCCGAGTCTAATTCCATACACAGTTTCTTATTATGAACAAGCACAAATACCTTAATAGGTTTGTAGTTTACATACCGCATGTTAAAAAGCTGACACTTCTTACAGTCGTTATCAGAATAATCAGATGCCTCGGTTATATTGTTTAACCGTGAAGACTTTGGCCGTTTCACTGTACACACTTTTTTTAAATGACCTTTCTCACCACACGATTGACACCTGTAATTTTTATACCGACATCTAATCGCACTATGGTTTTTTAAGCCGCATACCGAACACTTTGATTCTTTAAAATGTTGAAACTGCTCTGCGTTGTGACCATGATGTTGACCCCTTGAGTAACCTTGGTTTGCACCTACACGATATACAGATTCCTCCTTTATTTGAGTCTCAATTTCAACTCCTTTAATCGAATTACGTGCTTGCCGCGCACACTCTGTTTGCTGGGCAATTTCAAGCGCTCTGGACCAAGTTAACGTTGCTGCTTCTTGTTCAAATAAACGGTCTCGTACTATTCCAGCTCCTAGACCCAATATGAAGCGATCTCGTAGTAAAATGTCGAGTGCAGATCCAAAGTCACAATGAATTGCGAGACCTCTTAGACGTGCACCCCAATCTTCGATACTTTCACCTTGAAACCTCAATGCTTCATAAAACTTTGCCCTATCGGCAAAGGTCGATCTTTTTGGAATAAAATGACCATTGAGTACTTTTACTAGCTCTTCGTAGCTGACACTCTCTAAGTGGCCGGGATGCACTAAATTCCGCGCCAGACGATAGGTATCATCCGAAAGATGTGTCAGCAACACCGCACGCTGATTTACGGTTGGTACGTTATTTAACGTAATAAACTGTGACAAACGGCTGCAGAAAATCGACCATTCTTGGTTTTTATGGTCAAATACGCTTAAATTCCCGATTAACACAGACATTATTAATTAATATGTAATTGTGGGTACTCGTCGCCAATGAACTGTTTTATAGCAATGAAACAACCGTCGCGTGTGTTAGCTAGTTTATTACTGGTTTTTAGAACTCGTACAATGCCTTGACATATTATATGAAGATACCTTCATTTCATACATATCAAGCCTGCATCCCCAGCACTAAAAGCACGATTGAGAAATATCCTTTTTAATCCATTAGAGCAGGACTTCCCAACCAGGGGGGCACGCCCCCCTAGGGAGGCGTAGAGAAATGTTAGGGGGGGCGTCGTAGGTACAATCGTGGTCAAGCGTGCCTATCCACCTTAAGGTCGTGTTTCCCGTGCGCTCACTTTGTATAGTTTGTACGGGGCGGAGTTTGATTTTTTTATTTGGCATTCATGAATGGGCAACGATAGTTGGATGTGATGAATGAATAGTGCATATAATTTAACTTAGTTTTATATTTGTTTAGGATTTAGACAATGGACGCTTTCCTGTGATAAACGCATTCAACCAAACAAACAAGAAAAATTTTAAGCGTCTGAATATTATCAGTATAGATTGACTATAATAAACATATATAAAACACAATTTTTAATTTACAATAATAATAAAGAAAGAAAGAAAAATAGTTTCATGTTAATTATAGTTAACAAAACTGTCAATTATAATAATGAAAGTTGTAGCTTCTCTATAATAAAATTACAGATTATTGATTTTTATAATATACTGCAATATTAGTTGTCTCATTCGTAAGTAAAAAATGACAATTTAAAAATAAGACATTATGTGTAAGTAAATCTACCACTTTTTCCATCGTACAAACAATACAAGTTCTTGAGCTACAGTTATAAAGATCAATTTTCTTCATTCTGTTTATGCATTATGGCATTGTTGCCAAGCCGCTACAAGTATATTTGTAACGGCTTGACAACAATGCAATTGCTTAACATCTTATATTTTGTATCTTTAAGTATTTTGTCGGATAGTTCTGTAAGAAACTATTTGTTAAGTTTCTTTCATTTTCGTTCCAGTGTAACTACTATCTTTACTACAACTAACCTAAATATTTTAAATTCACACAATCATAGTTGTATTAAAAAGTAGAAATGCCATTCTTTCTGAAATAAGATTAATCTGCTTTTTGATTTTTAATAATTGATATAATAAGGTAATGCAATATTATTTATTACTCTAGATATTTTAATCACAAAATGATTAGGTATATGCGTATAATAAATTAAATAAATTTATTTCATGATCAAATTCTCGAAATATAGGGTAAAAGTATATCTGTAAGAAACAATTTGTTAAGTTTCCAAGTCAATTTTATAAAACATTAGCCAATTTACTTGTGATACAATAGAAATAGATAGCAGTATATTTTATTTAAGACTAGCTTTCCGCTAGCGGCTTCGCCTGCATGTTCCCTATGGAACTATTTAGTAGGATAAAAGTATCCTATATTCTAAGTCAGCTAATACCCTACCTGTATACCAAATTTCATCAAAATCTGTTCTGTAGTTAGTGTAATAAACATTAGTGTAATAAATAATGATCTAATATTTGAAACCGAAAGTTATTAATTTCGTTTGATTGATTTGTTATAAATTATAATTGGCAAATATATATTTTTTAAATATAACAACTTTAATTGAGCAAGGATCTTATGACAAAAAGAAAGTAAAAAGTTTAAAAAAATTTAACCGACATCAAATTTAAAAAAGTGAAAAATAACACTTATCTTAAAAACGGTTAATTTTTAAAGAAACATTAAAGTCGGGCGGTTAATATTTAATTAACTACAGAAAACCTCAGCCCGCTTGAAGTCGGTTCCATTTTTTTAAAGTTTTTATTTCATGCATTCACATCACGCATACTTAATGCAAATTTAAGACTTATACGGTTTTCTCATAGATGCCATTGCCAGATCTGGACCACACGGCAAACACTTGCTTTCAAATAATTATCATCAAAATCGGTCCACCAGTCAAAAGTTATGAGGTAATAAACAAGAAAAAAAAGTACAGTTAAATTGAGAACCTCCTTCTTTTTTGAAGTTGGTTAAAAATATGATAACAGGACCAACTTTCATGAAATACATATCATTTCTCTCTTTCGTGGTGATTCTAAATAAGTATATCAATGGTAATTATTTTTCTAGTTGGCAGGTGTTCAAATAAAACATAATTTAACGTTAAAAATTATTCATTTACTCTCTTTTAATAAACAAATTAATATCTTAGCAAAATAGTTATAAAATACCCGACATAGTATAATAAACTTAAAATATATAAATTTAATTTGATTTTTTTAATGTATTTTTAGTGCTTTTTGTAGTTACATGATAAAAAATTGAATATGTATACCCCTATAGAATAATATAGCAAGTTTATTTTTGTTCTCTTAGTTTTTTACAGATTTGAAAATGCCGTTTGGAGGACTTAAAATTAAATTAAGTTAAGTTTGTGCAAGAGAATTGCCGTACTCCGACAACGGCGGCGGCTTCTAAGAAAGCAAATTACTTGCTTTCTTAGAAGCCGCCGCCGTTGCTTAACTGGCAAGTCTTAAAACATTTTTCATCGGCAAAAATATCGTGTGAAAAATCAAAGTCTCGGTACTCTCGTGCAAATCAGACTCTATCAATTTTGTTTTGTTCGTTCATTATTATTATTTTTTGCGGGTCTTCTGTGATGAACTCCTGCTCTATGGAGGGTTCTCTGTATAGTACGGACGGAGCAGTCAAACTCTTCAGCGAATGTTCGCATTAGAGTAAAAGGCGCAGTCGCGTAAAGATTAACCATTCGCTGAGACTGCTTCGCCGATATTAAATAGGAATGTTCGGGTTGTCTTGATCGAGCGTCCACGTGTCCTTCTTCTTCAAAACGATTGACCCAGAGGCGCACAGTAAGTCGCTGTAACAAAATTATTTATTAAAATAAAACTTCAATCTATTATATTTTACTTTTGAACGTATTTAAGGGCGTGTATTTATATAGACTTTATAAACTTATAAAAAAATTTAGATACTTATAAAAAAATCACAGACAATAATAACTGAGTTAACGAAAAATAAGTAAATTAGAGTATAAAATAAATGAAATGAACATTGCACATATAAACGCATTTTATCCGGCAAAAGTAGTTTTATTTCGTTTCACATTATATTAGTATATCTTTTTTACTGTCGCTGAAACAATGTTATCCAATTAATTATGTATCAGTCTATAAGTAAAGCTTGTTACTACTACTTTACTTTACTATTCTATTAGATGCCTCTTCTGCTATTAGAACCTAATAAAAAAAAATCAAAAATAAAAAAATCACGCTATTTATATATTTTCACATTAACTTTAATTCGTTATTTTAATAAATTTATTTCATTGCTTATTTAGCAGGCGCACCTGAAAATAACGCAAATGCAGGGCCTAATGCATTAAAATATTTAAAGATCAATTTATCAATTAGATTATAAAGATCAATTAATTTCACAGTAAAATACAAAAATAAAAATATTATAATGAATTCTTAATATTCAAACCAAATATTGAAAATATTCAAAAAAATCATTAAATTAACGAGTAGTAATTCAAGTTTCTGCTTACCTAAAAAATTAAATTGATGAACGTAATAATTGCATTTGATCTTTTTCATCAACTTATTTGGTAGGTGATTCTTATAATTAATTATACTTATAACCAAAAATGGTTTAAAATCAACTGAGTTAACATATTATTTTGTTTGAAAGAACTATCGTTCCAGTTCAACAAATTCATACATTTTTTAAGAATAAATGTTACTTTTATTTTTACGATGTTGCCAAGTTTCTGTAGCCAGTGTCAGAACAGTAATAACGAAATTCGACCTTACGACTGATATCCATTAACTAATATTGTTTGTATGACAGTAAAAGAGATAGCTAACAAGGAGCGCATCTTTTATTTTCGCCTCGTCTTTGTCGGCAACCACAAGAGTTTTTATGTTTGAATCTTTTTTTCACACGGCACGGCGCCAGCGTTCTAGAAACGAAGCGGTTTGGCAACATCTTGAATTTTGAGTGAACTTTGTATGTTTTTACAATTTTATTATTGATTCTTTTTGTGAAATAGGAATCTTTGATCACATGACACTAAGGAATTACTTAAAAACAAAACGAAATAAAAATGAGAAATGAGTAGTGTAGAGAATGATATTAGAGGTAGTTATAACAGTATTGGCATAATAATCGTAAGCTAATATAAATATTTAATCATCGAGGAACTCTTCAAACTACTTACCTACTCTTTATGAGAGAGATGTAGAGGAAAAACGTAATTCCATTAATTTCTAAGGAAAGTAAAAATTCCATTTGATCTGATAAAATGTTATAATCCCTACTAAAAGTACAAATGCAAAAGTAACTCTGTCTGTTTGTTATGCTTTCACGTCTAAACCACCGAACTTATTTTCATGAAATTTGGTACAGAGTTAACTTTGAGAAAGTAGGCTACTTTTTATCACGAAAAAAGAGGTTCCTGGAGACCACGCAGGCTAAGCCGCTGGTGGAAAGCTAGTACAATTATAAATTGTAAACAATAATAATTTAAATATTTAATTTGCAATGAGAGTTTGTATATCTAAATAAGCAGTAAGTATGTTACACTTACCGTCAATCCCAGCTCTCTGGATATTTTGCTAATATTCATTCCATCTTCACGTAATGCGACGATACGACTCCTCTCTTGTATGGAGAGGTTCCTCGAAGATATGGTCCAAATTCAAGCCAAGGTCACGTTAAGCAAATCAAAAGTTTTTAGCATGGTGGTCAGGTATTAACAGGTATCAGTCCAATGAGAATGCGGAGGTTAAAAGAAAATCTAGAGTGAGCACGTCAACAATTAGCAATATGCAAAAAGCGACTAAACTAAAAAAATAACAACACTGTTATTGCTTTCATTGTATTTGTTGCATACGTAGAGCCATGCTGATTGGTCATAGTAAAATACTACGACCAATGAAGATGCGCCCGTAACTCCGCCCCCTAAAATTGCATCAAGTGTGTGCCAAGCGAACGAGATTTTGAAGTGGATAGGCACGTGAGACCGCCACTGTACGTAATATGTAAGATTACATTTCCAAAAAAAAAACAGTCATTACAGTTTTTAATATAAATGTTGACTTTTCTGTGTGCAATATATTTTTTACCGTATTATATTAACAAAAGTAATCGATAGAAACAATTGAAAAATAAAACATATTCCCTATTGTTCCTAATTGCCATTCAATCGCTGCTGTTTAAGTTTCTACAAGTCACAACACGACGTGTGACATGCTCCTCTCAACTTCCCGCTTGCATCCATCTGTCATGTCCGTCACTAAAACAATTGCGTGCCGTACCTAGCCGTACCTACTCGCTTCTGTCAATAGTTCGTTCGCATAAAAGTCCAAGTTGTGTTTTAAATCTGTTAAGGGGGATATTTAAGTGTGAAATTGTTTCGTTAAAGAGACTTAATAAAAGGTAAGTTTTTTTAAGTACTAATATGAAACTGCCCGATATTTGTTTTATTTTTATTTTCCAACAAAATATGTAGGTACTTGCTCGTATAAGTTAGTTTTGAGTTTGTACCTAAATTGTGCTGGTTTAGTTGTCAAGTAGGTACTTATTTGTAAATCTGTAAATATAGGTATAGCTATGTCCTAAAAATAGGTAGGTACACACGGCCAGAGATCAAGTTACCCAAAATCAACATAAATGGAACTCTCGAGTCAAAGTTTTTAATACGACGCGCGAGTTCTGTATAAATTTAGTTATTGTTTATAATTATATGAATAATGATATATAAATGTAAATACTGTTGGTGTATCTTAATAAATAAATAAAGGCGATATGTACAAAAATTCGCGAGGATTTTTTCTCAATTTTAATTTGTATTAGAATTTTTCATGATATACCTACTTACCTATTTTTTTTTCGCAAGTGTATTGTCAACTTTATACGAGACTTGCCTATCTCGGGCTGAAATTGTACCTTGTATTGCCAACGTCACGCAGCACGTGAATAGTAATAAACTATTATTACATTGTTTCAGACGCGAAATGGCATCGAAAAAAAGGAAGTTTTCGGATGATTATATGAAATTTGGATTTACCTTCATAGAAAGAGACGAGCTACAATTGCCGCAGTGTGTAATATGTATGAAAGTTTTAAGCAATGATAGTATGAGACCCAGTCGCCTTGAGAGGCATTTGAACCAGCAACATCCTACTCTATCTTCGAAATCCAAAGAGTTTTTTTCTTCTAAAGCAGAATCACTTAAACGCATGAGATTGGATAAGTCGGGAAGTTATCACAAAGGTGTATCACAACATGTCAAAGCTTCATTCGAATTAGCTTTGTTGATAGCAAAACAAAAGAAACCTCACACTATCGGGGAGGATTTAATCAAACCATGTATCCTTAAAGTCACTCAAATAATGTTAGGAGTTGAATCTGAGCAAAAAATGAAATCATTATCTCTCTCTAATAACAGTCAAGCGAAGAATTGACGATATATACTCGGACTCTGCACAGACGGCGCCCCTGCAATGATAGGTGCACGATCAGGCTTGGCTCATAAACTTAAGGAAAAGAACCCCACATTAGTTAGTACACATTGTGTTATTCATCGGCAAGCTTTGGCCTCAAAAACTTTGCCACAGTCTTTGTGCCAGATTTTGAATTCGGCTATAAAGATCATAAACTACATCAAAAGTACTGCATGGAACAGTCGGTTATTTACTTTACTTTGTGATGATCTCGATTCTGACCGCAAGGTCCTCCTATTCCACACAGAAGTGCGATGGTTATCAAAAGGCAACATGCTAGCTCGCCTTTATGAATTAAGAGAAGAGGTCATCCTCTTTCTTGAATTTAAAGAAAATAATAATTTTCTGCAACTGTTCAAAGATGAACAATTTCAATGGAAGCTGGCCTATTTAGCTGATATATTCGGAGCTCTGAACCAGCTAAACTTGAAACTACAGGGCAGAAATGGTACTTTGATTAGTAACTATGATCATATTCAAGGTTTCATATCAAAACTTCAACTTTGGAAAAAGAAGATATCTGATGAAAATGTATTTCCTTTTTCACGGCTGTCCGAAGAAATTAATAATCAAAACTTGAGTAAAAATTTGAAATCATTTGAAATAGAAACTCATTTGGAAGCGTTGGAAAATGAATTTAATCGATACTATCGAGACATAAATTCCGAATCACCAATATGGCACATGACCAGAAACCCATTTGTTGTCGATGTCTTACAATTACCTGAAGAAGTTCAAGAAGAATTTCTAGAAATGAAGGCTGATTCGACCATGAAAGATGACTTTCATCTCATGACATTAGAAAAATTTTGGATCAAACGATTTGTTGTTAATCCGAAAGTTGCTTCTCTTGCTTTAAAAATACTTGTTCCATTTTCGTCCTCTTATTTATGCGAGGCAGGTTTTTCAGCTCTAGTTTTAATAAAAACCAAGCAGCGAAATACCCTTGCCGTCGATAGCGATTTAACCATAGCTTTAGCAAAGACTGAACCCAGAATCGACCAACTGGTACAGAGCATGCAAGCTCAAGTATCTCATTAGCTAGTACCTTAAAAGATTTTATTTATTTGTTTTAAAATTACTTGAATTAAAAGTTGTTTAAAAAATATCTATTATCCTTAATTAATATATTGTACTACTGTATTCAACCTATTTAAAATACCTAAAAATAAATAATTTAATTAATAAATAAAATGTGCGTTTCTTATTTTTGTTGAAACTTACCTAAGGGGGGCACGAAAATACTATTTTTGCCTAGGGGAGGCTTGGCGAAATAAAGGTTGGGAAACCTTGCATTAGAGCATACCGTCCGATAAATCGGACGCAATTAAATTCCTTCAAATTCGTCGAAATTAAATAAAAATGGGAGTTCTTTGTTTCTGAACGAAAGTTAAATATTTTTTTTTATATTGGCAACCCAGTTAGTAATTGTCATGTGGCTTATGTCATATGTCTTTTTCTAATTAAATAATGTTTAGCTACCTTATTACACAATTTATTTCATTTCAATGTAGTTACATTGTTTGCTATGGTGTGAGTTTTGATGCTGTCCGATAAATCGGACGCTATGCATTACGGGCAGTACAGTGTGGTGTTTGTTTGCTTTTTGCAGCTTGACGTTGCATGAAATTTTGTCAGCTTTTTTTTTTTGCCAAGAAGTCACGACGTTATGCCATCTACATCTCCAGGTATCCCGTCTTATAATGCAGGCAATTCACAGGAGTCTAGTGACGAAAGCGATGACGATGATGATAACCAACCGCTGGCTTCTCTTAAAACGAGAATTTCTGCACCAAAAAACTCGCAAACTAAGAAGGACGACGTAGTGGAAAAAATCGTTACCCAATTTCACATGCTCTGATTTGAGTACACAACCAATTTCAGAAGAAAGCAGAAATTGTAAAGACTCATTGGACTATTTCAAACTGTTTATACACAAGGAACTAGTAAAATTTGATGTAGATCAAACTAATTTTTATGCAGGACAGAAAAATAAACTATTGATGGTAACAGAGGATGAAATGTATTTGGTTTTTGGTGCTATGTTGCTATTGGGTTATTCGAGATTACCTAAAAAGAGATTCAATTTCTCTAGAGAAAATGATGGGCCAAACAATTTTTGCTGAGAGTATAAGATGAACAGATTTGAAACAATTCTCCAAAACTTAGATCTGAATCAAGCTGCGTCCGCTTTTAGATAATCTAGGTGAGTCCTTTTGAAAACACTATGGCGTAGACGAAAATTACAACGTAAATGAAAGCATGACCCCATATTATGGAAAGCATAGCATAGTGCTTTCCATAATATGGGGTCATGCTTTCATTTAATCCAACAATTTATCCGAGGAAAGCCGATAAGTTTGGGTTTAAAAATTGGGCTTTGTGTGCCAGTACGGGGTACATGGTGGCGTTCAAAGTGTATACAGGCAAATCTTCCGAGAAGAAAGATTTTGGATTAGAGATATAGTTCGTAGAAGAAGGAAAATTGCCAGCCAATAATGGTATAAAAATCTACTTTGTAATTTTTTTTACATTATTGTCTTTATTGCGACATCTACGTGAGTTAGGTTTTTATGCTACTACTATCAGAGCCAACAGAGTCGAGAACTGCCCGCTAAAAGATATTCAGCAATTCAAACGGGAAGAACGCGGCTTCAGTGACTACAGGATGCACATAAGAAAATGGTGATGGCCCATTTTTGCCTATTTCATAGATATGTGTCGGAATTGGGGATTTTTTCAGTACGTATTTGCTTTCAGTTCACTGCGCCCAAACGATTTGGAGAGTTACCTCTTTTATTGAATTCGTCAGCTAGTGCTTTCCATTTTTCTTCAGTGGGCGGTCCAAGGAATTGTATTCTCGACAACGAAAATGCATATTAATAGAACCTCCGGAGTTAGTTATTTGGCGAACAAAGTATTTAAAGAAAATAAAAAAAATTCGAAGTGAAAACCGCAGTATTTATTATTTGGACAAAATTTGGCTTAACGCAAGTAAAAGGTATGGTTCTGTCGTGATATTATTCATTTGACATACTTAAAATTTTTGCGTATTTATTTATTTTAAATTGCTTTAGGTCACACTGTTACAAAAATATGGAACGATGCAACGGCAACGTCAACGCATCAAGCGTTTATAGAGGGTGTGTCAACTGGCGCCAAACAACGTAAAGGAAAAGGAAAACGTTTGATTATTGTGCAAGGAGGCAAAAAAATGAATTTTTGGAGGAATGCGTGTGGATGTCTGTACGTAGAAAGACTGGAGATTACAATGAAACAATATATGCAGCAAATTTTGACAAATGGTTTGAGTAGTTTGTTAATAAATTACAGCCAATAAAATTTCATTCTACGTAAAACACAGATATTGGACGTTAACCGTTAACGTAAAATAAGGCAGAGTGGAAATATTTTCTATGGTTATATAAATATCATGCAATTTGAAGTTGACATCGCAAACATCATGTTGTCTTTTTTCAACTAATGAGAATTTTCTTTAGTAAAGAAAGATCGCACTAGAGTGACAGTACAAAATTTTTTACGTGACGTTATGACCTATAGCTATGGTACCACCTGTCCTCCATTTGCAAAGTTACAGTGCGTATTCTCGGAAGTATTTTAGGTGTCAGTGTTGTAAGTAGTGG